CGAGCCCCCGCCCCGCACCTGTGCTGGCCAAGGACATCCGCCGGTACTTCTCCTTGTTCGGGGTGCCCTCGTTGGCGCCCGAGGTGGCGATGGCGAAGGCGGAGGCCGCCGACAGGCCGCTGCGGCTGTTGTCCAGCTCGCGACAGGACCGCATGACCACCCCGTTGTTGTAGGAAAAGAGGGGGAACTCTGGGGAGGAAGGAAGGCCAGGGTCCCAGGGCGGGGACAGGGCCGAGCTGGGGAGGGGTGTGTGCCCTGCCCGACCCCCTGTACCACCCCCTCCATCTCCCCGCCATCTCCCCACCTCTCCCTGCAGTCCCAGACCGAGCCGGGCACAGGCCGGGCAAGGCCAGATACAGAGCCCTGCACGCCGCGTCCTCCCCTCCGTGCTGTGTGGCCTCGGGTAGCTACTTAACCTCTCTGGTCTCAGGAGGCAATCAATCTCTGGATAGTGGGGGTAGGAACACTCCCTCAAGGGGGCACGTGAAGGTGAAAGGAGGTATTGGGACCGTGCAAAAAGCTCTGTGTCTGCAGATGTTATCAATAATGCCTGTTAGGCCTGGCCTGTGTGGCTCAGTGGTGAGCGTCGACCTGTGAACCAGGAGGTCAGGGTTCGATTCCTGGTCAGGGCACATGCCCGGGTTGCGGGCTCCATCCCCAGTATGGGGGGTGCAGGAGGCAGCCGATCCATGATTCTCTCTCATCATTAATGTTTCTCTCTTTCTCTCCCTACTCCTTTCCTCCCTCTGAAAAAAATTTAAAAAAAGAAAAATGGATATAACCCGGCCCAACCCAGCCACTCGATGGGGCTCCCAGGAGTGGCCCTGGGTGCTGGCCCTCCGGTCCCGTGTGGGGTGGGTCGCGCATCCTGTCTGGGGCCGGGGGTGCGTGCTGGGTGTAGAGCAGGCCCCACCCAGTCCCATGTCACCCCGGGTTACGGGGTGTGGGGCCCACTGGTTCGCTCTCTCTCTCTCTCTCTCCTGCCCGGCCACCTGGTCCCTGCCCGGCCCCCACGCCCTCTGGTGAGCGGTACCTGAGGGGTTTTTGCTCCTGACGGGCTTGGGTGTCGTCGGGGATTTGGTGGGCGACGTCTCGGGGTCGGCCTCGTCACTCTGGTTCTGGTCCGTGTCCGACTCCTCCCGCACGGAGACGTCGGAGCCTGGGAGGGGCGGCGACGGTCTGACGTCTCCCAGACGGTCCCCGATTTTTGGATTCGGGCCTGTAGTTCCGGATGAAACAGAATTCGTGTGGGGGTCTCCGTGGCGGAAGGGTGAGCGGCTCCCTCGGGCCCCTCCGCCCTTGCACGTGGGAGAGGTCGGCTCCCGTTTGGGGGGTCCTGCTCAGAAAGGGCCTCCCCGGACCTCAGTTTCCCCAACTACAGAGCGAGTGGGGTTGCACCTGGACGCGTTAGAGAGCTCACGGGACGCCAGGCCTTCTCTCTAGAAAACGGTGTCCAACATGTGTGCGCACACACATGTACACACAAGCATGTATGTAAACACACGCACACACATGTACACACAAGCATGCATGTAAACACGCGTACACACATGCACACACATGCACACACATGCACGTAAACACGCGCACACACAAGCATGTATGTAAGCACATGTACACACGTGTACACACATGCACACACATGTACGCACACATGTACACACATGCACACACATGCACACACATGTACACACACAAGCACGCATGCAAACACAAATACACGTGCACATGCACAAAGCACATATGCAAATATGCACACACAACACACATGAACACAAGCATGTATGCAAACATGAACACAATGCACACATACAAAGCACACACACATGTACACACAAGCACACATGTACACACATGCACATGCACAAAGCACATATGCAAATATGCACACACAACACACATGAACACAAGCATGTATGCAAACATGAACACAATGCACACATACAAAGCACACACACATGTACACACAAGCACACATGTACACACATGCACATGCACAAAGCACATATGCAAATATGCACACACAACACACATGAACACAAGCATGTATGCAAACATGAACACAATGCACACATACAAAGCACACACACATGTACACACAAGCACACATGTACACACATGCACATGCACAAAGCACATATGCAAATATGCACACACAACACACATGAACACAAGCATGTATGCAAACATGAACACAATGCACACATACAAAGCACACACACATGTACACACAAGCACACATGTACACACATGCACATGCACAAAGCACATATGCAAATATGCACACACAACACACATGAACACAAGCATGTATGCAAACATGAACACAATGCACACATACAAAGCACACACACATGTACACACAAGCACACATGTACACACATGCACATGCACAAAGCACATATGCAAATATGCACACACAACACACATGAACACAAGCATGTATGCAAACATGAACACAATGCACACATACAAAGCACACACACATGTACACACAAGCACACATGTACACACATGCACATGCACAAAGCACATATGCAAATATGCACACACAACACACATGAACACAAGCATGTATGCAAACATGAACACAATGCACACATACAAAGCACACACACATGTACACACAAGCACACATGTACACACATGCACATGCACAAAGCACATATGCAAATATGCACACACAACACACATGAACACAAGCATGTATGCAAACATGAACACAATGCACACATACAAAGCACACACACATGTACACACAAGCACACATGTACACACATGCACATGCACAAAGCACATATGCAAATATGCACACACAACACACATGAACACAAGCATGTATGCAAACATGAACACAATGCACACATACAAAGCACACACACATGTACACACAAGCACACATGTACACACATGCACATGCACAAAGCACATATGCAAATATGCACACACAACACACATGAACACAAGCATGTATGCAAACATGAACACAATGCACACATACAAAGCACACACACATGTACACACAAGCACACATGTACACACATGCACATGCACAAAGCACATATGCAAATATGCACACACAACACACATGAACACAAGCATGTATGCAAACATGAACACAATGCACACATACAAAGCACACACACATGTACACACAAGCACACATGTACACACATGCACATGCACAAAGCACATATGCAAATATGCACACACAACACACATGAACACAAGCATGTATGCAAACATGAACACAATGCACACATACAACCACGGACTCCTCTGTGGGCCTCGGGGGGCACGTCACAGGCTCAGGCCTGCCGCCCCCGTGCTGAACGGCCCGCTGTGCCCATAGGGACCCCACTTCTCCTCAGAGCAGGATGCGGGCTCAGAGGGCGGGAATACGTTCCCAGTCTCCTTCCCTCCATCCCTCCATCCCTTCCTTTTTCTTTCTTTAAATATTTGTATTGATTTCCGAGAGGAAGGGAGGGAGAGAGAGAGAAACATCGCTGATGAGAGAGAACCATGGATCGGCTGCCTCCTGCACCCCGCAACCTGGGGATCGAGCCCGCAACCCGGGCCTGTGCCCTGACCGGGAATCGAACCCTGACCTCCTGGTTCATAGGTGGACGCTCAGCCCCTGAGCCAGGCCGGCCGGGCCAGGCTCTTTCTTTCTTCAATGGGGAAGGTGTGGAACTCTGACCCTTGGAGAGGGGTGGGCCCAGCTTCACGGAGGGGCTGAGAGGTGAGACCGTGGAGGACAGAGCAGGTGTCCGCCTGCAGCGGACCCCACCCGGGAGCCCGAGGGAAGGGGTCAGCCTCCCCCCTCCCCCAGCTGCTTCCCTTGGTTCCGGGGGGTGCCCGCCTCCCCGGCTCAGGCCATG